TAAAATGTCCTAAAGTAATCAATCATTATACATCAATCATTTATAATATTGTTTTTAGTTTAAAATGTAATTTTTATATAGGTTATTGGTGTTCATTTAACTGGGAAGATGACTGGTTGGACCACACCAAAGGATGTCATCCTTAAAGTAGCAGATATTTTGACTGTCAAAGGTGGTACTGGTGCTATAATTGAATATCACGGACCCGGAGTAGATAATATATCTTGCACAGGTAAACATTATTACTTACAGTGTAGAACATGGATTCTTGAACTGTGGTACGCGTACCCCTTGAAGGTACTTGAAATTTTTTAAAGGGTACGAGTCTGGCCTACAAAATTTGTTATTTATGTATAATTTAATACATATATCAGTTGAGTAACTAAGAAGGGGTACCACAAAAAAATTAATTTTAAAAAGGCGTACAGTATTCAMMTTTATCCCTGGTGTTGAATATAATCTTAATAATCGTTAAATCATATTTTCAAAGGCATGGGTACCATCTGTAACATGGGTGCAGAAATTGGAGCTACTACTTCTTTGTTCCCTTTTAACCACCGAATGGCGGACTATTTAAAAGCAACATCACGTGCTGATATTGCTGAAGAGGCTGCCAAGTACAGCAAGTCTTTATTGACTCCTGACAAAGGCAGTCATTATGACCAGGTAATATTTTTTCTTGAATTGTTAGAGTTATGTACTAATGATTTATTTTATTATTATCATCAATGTAGTTAATTGAACTTAATTTATCAACACTGGAACCTCATGTCAATGGACCCTTCACACCTGATCTCGCCCATCCAATTTCAAAACTTGGAAAAAATGCTAAGAAAAATGATTGGCCGGTAGAAATTARAGTTGGTTAGTTACTTAAATTAAAAGCTTATTTATTTCTAGTTTAACAATTGCCCAAGGAAAAAAAACCCTCAACACTAATATCTAAAATTTCAAATCGCGTCTAAGCTAAATGTCGATATCTTTATAAAAACCATTCTTTGAGTAATCTATACAAAATAATATTCACTTGTTAAATGGTTAAAGGTAAACTGTTCTTTTATACCACTTATTTTCAAGATAGTAAGATCAAAGTTGTGTTTTAGATAATTTTTTAAAATATTTTTTCCTTATTTCAGGTCTTATTGGAAGCTGCACTAACTCCAGTTATGAAGATATGTCGAGATGTGCTACTATTGCAAAAGAAGCCTTAGCCCATGGTCGTAAATCAAAAATTCCATTTAATGTTACTCCTGGGTCTGAACAAATTAGGGCAACAATCGAAAGAGATGGAATTGTATATAAGAATTTAATATTTATTAACTATTAGTAGATATTTTAATTACATTATGTTCAGGCACAAACACTGAGAGAATTTGGAGGAACTGTACTAGCCAATGCGTGCGGCCCATGTATTGGTCAATGGGACCGTAAAGATGTCAAAAAAGGAGAAAAGAACACCATCGTCAGTTCATACAACAGAAACTTTACTGGACGTAATGACGCCAATGCGGCAACTCATGCCTTTGTCACCTCTCCAGAGCTAGTTACCGCTTTAGCTATTGAAGCTCGTTTGGACTTTGATCCTACAGTTGATTCAATCAAGGGAGCTGATGGTTAGTTAAATATTACTTACCAGCAGGGCTCAGGACTTATGGCACTCAGAATCATTAATATAAGCGATTAAAAACATTATAAACATTTAAACAACTTAAATTTAATCAAAAATATTTATTTAAAAAAAAACTAAAAAAATTCTAACTTAATAAAAAAAATAAAAAAATCTTAATTTTTATATTATAAAAAAATTAAATTTCACTTTCGAGGCTTGAAGGATTTTATGAATTTTTCAAAAAATAAAATATAAACGATATATAAAAATATTTAATAATAGTTGAAAAAATGTTATTTTGAGTAATATTTTTGTTAACCCCGAAATGATGTTGCGGACTGCGACAACTGAACATATAAAAGATAAGAATTATTTTTAATTTTAATTC